TACTGGGCGGGGGCGGGGAGGACTTGGACACACGTACGGGGGAGACACAGTTCAGCCTGTGACGGCACCGTTTTGGCAATAACCAAGCCTGTGGCGTTGCCTGTACTCTGAGGTAGTCACTTTCTACCAGTATTTGGGTAAACAGCATGATTTGTTCAGATTTCTAATACAAGAATTAATTGCTTAAATAAATATACATATATATGTATATATTAAACTCCTTCCTTACTTCCAATTTTTCTGCCTGAAATGTTACAGACTATGACAGATATGCAGAGTAACAATATATACACAAAGGCATTAACCAGATGTGGTTATTCTTCTAGTTAAACTCAACTGATTCATTTCATAGACTGTCTTTAATATATCTGGACAAGCCTCTTGACTGTGATTAAAATAGTATTAATTGCTATTCTTTACTAGGAGCCTGAGTAGGGTAATTTTTTCAAGGCCTTGGAGCCAGATAAGACTAAGGTTTGAACTCTGGCCCTGCCAGTTGCTGCGTATATCACTTTCTAAGCCCATTTCCTGATGGGAATGATGCCTACCTCATAGGATTATTGCTCAACAAATGACATGTTGTTAGGTTGTGATAGAAAGCATTTAGCATCGTGCCTCATTTATACACAACATTCACTAAAGAGTAGTCATTGTTATTAGCATGCCCACACTGAGAAACAGTACTTCATTTAATTTATGACAAGGGTTTTTATTGTTAATGAATCATCATTAATTCTTTTGTAATCTTTTGGACTTGATTATTTACATCCTTGTATCCCAAATAAAGACTGGTCTCCTTGAAGTCAGCAACCTGGTCTTGTTCATCACTGTATCTGTAGACTTTAGCTTAGTGCCACGACTAGTCATAACTCAGGGAACCTTTCTTAAATGTGTGAGTTAGAAAAATAAATGATTCTTTTAGGAAGTTTGAATACGTAGAAGAGAAAAAAGTCTGGAGATGGAATAGGTTTGAGAGAAAGACTTTTAGAAAGAAGAAGCCTTGAGCATTTTCATAGACTGATTAGGGAAGGGACAGAGAAGGAAGGTATGGCAGGGACAGAGCTGACCAGCACAGCCCTTGGTAGAGGAGGAAAGGGCAGCAGTAGGATGGGGCCAAGGGCACAAGGCCAAGGGCACAGGTAAAGAAAGAGGTTAAGTCTTGAAGAGATCTACCTTCCCCTGAAACAGGAGTAAGGAGAACGGCGAGAATGTAGTTCAACTTTGAAGTTAATGGAGAAAAATGGACAGGGGTTATACTGGGTAGATTAACCTTCTGCTAAGGTGAAGGGATCGGAGGTGACTGAAGGGCCCGCACACAAAAGTTTTAGAACAACTTTGGGTTACGTGATCAAAGTTCCAGTAACAGTGGGAAGTGAATAGATCATGTAGCAGCACTGAGGGCCCACGTAAACCTAGTGAAGCTGATCAATTTGCTTGCTTGCTTATTTGTTTATCCATTTATTTGTAAGCTAACATTTAAAAATAAGTATCCGTTGCATAGATTTGCTGGTGCGTTTGTCTTAACTTCCCTAGGGGAAACAGCTGCTATATAGTCAAAGTATGTTGCAGATTTGGAGTCATGTTGCACACTATCTTTGCAAAAGCCCTTTCCTGTTTGAATAGAGGTAGTCAGCTGGCATCCTAAGTGTGGTCTCCAATGATCAGTATTTGGTTTTAAGCACTTTTTATGTTATCATTAATCCGAGTTTTCCATGCATGAACATTATCAGTACAATAAGATGGAACTGCTTTATGGCACATGCGTTTAAGTAAATCTTTAAGTCTGAAATGAAATGTGCTTGGATTACTGAGTTTGGTTGTTTTTCTTTTTTTGTTTTGTTTTGTTTTTTACCAGAGTTGGACAAGTTATAACCATCAAAGCAAAAGTCACTAGAGCATTCAGCACAAGCATGGAGGTAAGAAGTACCCTTTCCTTACTTCTGCCTGTTGGTGCTCATTTACTCGTTGTGTACAGAGGGCAGAGGAGGTCCAGGATGATATTGGAGTTAATGAGATTCTGAATTTCAAAAGGCCCTTCAATCTGTAGTGAGATTCATGGTAAATAACAAGGAGCCAGCATTTCCTAGTCAACCCTGCTACTAAAATTCAATGTGATACAAAGCACTATTTTTACACAGAGGGACGCACAGAAAGTCAACATACAAGGGAGAAGGGTGCTCTCTTGGTTCTTTGCAAGATGTGGACTTTATTTCATAATTATTCTGACTCTACTATTATCCTAACTCTGCTGTTCTTCCTCTCCTCACCCCCGATGGAAACTAGCCCCACGATTAACTAGTGTTTGAAAGGTGGAGTAACTGGACTTTAGTAAGAAAGTAAGTTTAGGTGATTTTTCTTCTGCATCCACTTGTTTTTCTTTCCTTTACCCTTGTGAAGGCAACATTCTCAGGGGCTTTTGAAATCTCCATCCCGGTTAAATTATCAGGAAAGGAGTTGCGGGATCTCAAATGGCAACTTCTAGAGTGGTCAGTAGCAGTCCCTTGATCTGTGGGCACAACAGACACGAAGGAACTTGGATTCTTTTTCTGGGGCTGCCACAAAGTGCCACAGACTGGGTGGCTCAAACAGCAGAAGTGTATGGACCCACAGTTCTGGGGGCTAGAAGTCCTGCACCGAGATGTGGGCAGGGCTGGGAGGGGGAATCTGCTCGTGCCTCCTCCTCGCTTCGGGTGGTTTCTGTGATCTTCAGTGTTCTTGGCTTCTGCGGCGGCGCGGGATCTCGGCCTTCATCCTCACGTGTGTTCTCCATGCGTGTCTGTATTCGGCTTCCCTTTTTATAAGGCTGTCGGCGGATTTGGCGAAGGCCCCAGCCTACCGCAGTATGACCGCATCTTAACTAGTCACACCTGCAACGACCCTGTTTCCAAATGGGCTCACATTCTGAAGTACTGGGCGGGGGCGGGGAGGACTTGGACACACGTACGGGGGAGACACAGTTCAACCTGTGACGGCACCGTTTTGGCAATAACCAAGCCTGTGGCGTTGCCTGTACTCTGAGGTAGTCACTTTCTACCAGTATTTGGGTAAACAGCATGCAACACGCTTGAAGAACACAGACAGGAAACGCTTATGGGGCGAACAAGCTGCGCGGGCGAAGGGCGCTCCCGAGCCCTGTTTTCTCAGCCGTGGGCTCTCGAGCCTCGCCGCACGGCAGCCCCCGGCCTCGGCCTGCCTCTTGACGGACTCTGACAAAAAAAAGTCCCTTTGCTTTTGTCCTTTTTCTCCTATTCCCTGAGAAAGGCTAGATTTTCTAAAGGAGGTTTGACTAAACGCTAAGAGAAAGAGAAAAAAAAACCAAACAAACAAACCCAGTGAGTTTGAAAGCGCAGACTCCTGGTCCTGAGGAAGGTAAACCCTGGCCTCGCCTGGCTCACCGGCCGGACCCACTGTGCGCCATTTTGTTCTCCCTCTTCCTCTGTGAATCGTGACCAGGCAGCCCCTGGGTTTTGTCTTACTTTCTACCACATGCTAGAAATTTCTTGGGTTTTTTTTCCTAAATCTAGATGCCAACTAGACATTTTTATTTTTGCTTCTTCACACTGAGTACACATCCTTTAGGATCATGCCATTCAGTTCAGTTTCCTGCCACAACTGAGGCCAGCCCTCTGCTAATTTGCTGAGTAGAAATAAATGACTCACTTCACCCCGAACCCAAAGCTCGCAGGAACCCTGTTCTGTGTCAACCCCGCTGCCAGGGAGTCTCTGATTCCTCTATTAATAAGCCTCATTAGGTATTCTGCATTCTTGCTGATTGTGTGTGCCGTCAGTCACTGGAAGGTGTGATGAGGTGTACAACTACAATGGTGGACTTGTGTGCGTTTCCTTTCAGTTCTGTGAGTGTTTGCTTCATGTGTTTTTAAGCTGTATTATTAAATACAAACACATCTGGGATCGTTAAGTTTTCTGGATGTCTTGACCCTTTTATCATTACGAAATTTACCTTTTTATCTCTGGTTTTTGTTTTGAAATCCGCTTTGTCTGAAATTAATTTAGCCACACCAGCTTGCTTTTGATTAGTGCGTACAAAATTTTTAAAATTCTTTTTCTTTTAATCTCTCTTTGTTTACTTAAGTGGATTTCTTATAGATAGCATATATTTGGATTTTGTTTTTTTATCTAGTCTAACAATCTCTGCTTTCTAATTGGAGTATTTAAACTATTTACATTTAACATAATTATCTGTATAGTAGAGTTAAAATTATCATCTGGCTATTTGATTTCTAATTGTTTCATCTGTTCATTGCTCCTTTTGCCCCATCTTTTCTTGCATTTTTTAGAGTGAATTAATTTTTAGTAATCCATTTTCTCTCCACTATTGGTGTTTTAACCATACATCTTTTTTTTAGTGCTTGTTCTGGGGTTTACAATATGCATGCTAAACTTACCTAAGTCTACCTTCAAATAATATTATGTCCCTTTAAGTATAGTGTAATAATCTTACAGTAGTGCACATATTTCCCTTCCCATGTTCCAGGCTTTGTGTTATTATTATCATACCTTTTACCTCCACATGTGTTAAAAACCCCACAATATGTTGTTATTATCTTTCAGAGAGTCGTTTTTTTAAAGAGACTTAAAATGTAAAAATATGTATTTCTATATACCCACATATTTCCCATTTCTGATGCTCTTTATTCCTTTGTGTATCTCCAGATTTTCCCCATGGTATGTTTTCTCTTTTTCTGTATGTTTTTAATAGTTTCTACTCACTGGTTTTCAGCAAGTAGGTTATGATGTGTCTTGTGATTTTTTTTTCACATTTATTCTGCTTGGGTTTTTTTGAGCTACTAGATCTGTGGATTTATAGTTTCTAACAAATTTGGAATTTTTTCAGTTATTATGTCTTCAAACATTTTTTTCTATCCCCATTTTTTTCTGTGCTCTCTGTTCTTTTGCATTTCTTTTCTTTTCTTTTCTTTTCTTTTTTTTTGAGACAGAGTCTCTTTATTGCCCTAGACAGAGTGCAGTGGAGTCGTCATAGCTCACAGCAACCTCAAACTCCTGGGTTCAAGAGATCCTCCTGCCTCAGCCTCCCAAGTTGCTGAGAGTACAGATGTATACCACCATGCCCAGCTAATTTTTTCTATTTGTAGTAAAGACGGGGTCTTGCTCTTGTTCAGGCTGGTCTCAAACTCCTGACCTCAAGTGATCCTCCCACCTTGGCCTCCCAGAGTGCTAGGATTACGGGCATGAGCCACTGCACCCAGCCTAATTTTAGAATTTTGGACTGCTTGTTAGTGTTCCACAGGTCACTGATACTCTGTTGTTGGTTTTTTTCAGTCTTCTTTTCTCTCCATGCTGCACTTTGTATAGCTTCTTTTGTTGTCTTCAACTTCACTGATTTTTTTCCTGGTAAGTATCTAATCTTATCTTAATCTTGTCTGATATGTCTTTTATTTCGGATATTATATTTTTCATCTCAGAAAGTCCCATTTGAGTATTTGTATTTTCCATTTATTTCCTCATTACGTTCATGTTTTTCTCTGTATTAGGAGTCAGCAAAGCATGGCCTATGGACCAGTTACCTGTTTTCATAAATAAAGTTTTATTGGAACATAGCCAAGTCCATTCATTTATGTTTTGTCTATGCTGCTATCACAATACATTGACAGAGTTGAGTAGTTGTACCAAAGGCCATGTAGTTATAAAGCTTTAAAGATTCACTATCTAACTTTGCCCTTTAAGAAAATGTTTGCTGACTCATGCCCTACATCCTTGAGCTCATGGTGCAAATATTTGGTTGCCGTTTTAATATTCTTTGTGTTAATTCCATTTCTATCATTTGATATTCTATTTGTTACTTTGTACCTAATAATCTTCTTGTGTTTAATAACTTTTTATTGGATGCTGAACATTGTAAATTTTACATTCTTTAGTGCTGGCTATTGTTATAGTTCTTTAAAAAGAGTGTCAGAATTTTCTTGGCAGGATTTTTGAGCTCTTCTGTGGAAGGTCTAGAATAGTCTATTCTAGGGCTAATTTAGCCCCTCTTCTAATTTGGGGTCTTCTGTGGTCTCTATGAAAGTGTTATATATTTAGAGAACTCTGGAGAGAGCTCAAAAGATCACCAGCTGTGTGAGCTCTTGGAATTGTCCATGTTACAGCTCCCCAGTAATTGTTCCTCAGAAGCTGTTCTTGTCTGGCCTTGTGAGGGTTCATCCTATGCATGCTCACGTTGGTATCAACCAAAGATTCATATGCATATTTCTGCAAATTTTTCTTTTTGTAGCTCCTTCTTTGGCACTCTGCCCCACAAATTTTAGCTGCCTTGATCTCCCTGGTTTCTGGCTCCAAAATTCCTAATTTAGCAAAATTAGGTTTCTCCTCCCTGACCACAGTCTGTGAATTATCTTCAGCCTGAGAACCTGGGAAATATAGTGCTCCTCTCATTTGTTTTCCTTTCCTTAGGGATCACAGTCCTGTGTCGCCTGTTTTCCTATATGTGAAAATAGATGCTTCTCATGCTTTGTCTAGTTTTCTAGTTGTTTTCATGGGATGTAATTCCAATCTTGCCTACTCTCTCATGGCATAATGAAATTGCCCCGGCATATGTTTTTGAGACATTTTGTCATCAAACATAACTAAGTTAACTGTTCCAGTAGAAGATAGCGTTCAGAATTTGTTTTAGCACACCCGAATTGTTACTTTGCTTTTACTATTAAATATTTTATTTTATTTTTCATTTATTAATACCTATATCTCTAAAAGTAGAAAACTGTGTGGGGTTAAGTGTTGTTGGGGGTTGGGAACATATGGCTTAAATTTGGTTGATCACCATCTAGTTTATTTAGGACTTATGAAAATACTAATTTGCATGTATGAGTTAAGCAACTTAAAATGAGTCATGGATTATTGGTTATTTTTGTACATGATGTACACAGTGAAGATGTGGATATAGATACTCATTGTTGTTGATGAAATAAGATGCCTGAGGTTGTACATTATCTTAAGAAAATAGTACTTTGGTCAGGCACAGTGGCTCACACCTGTAATTCCAGTGATTTGGGAGGCCAACGTGGGAGGATTGCTTGAGGCCAGGAATTCAAGACCAGCCTGGAAAACATAGTGAGATCCCATCTCTACAAAATATATGTAAAAAAAAAATTAGCCAGGCATGGTGGCACACGCCTGTACTCCCAGCTACCCAGGAGGCTGAGGCAGGAGGATCCCTCGAGCCTAGGAGTTCAAGGCTTCAGGGAGCTATGATTCCACCACTGCACTCCAGCCTGGACAACAGAGCCAGACTGTCTCTTAAAAAATAAAAATTAAAAGAAAGAATGAAGGAAATAAAATAGTATTACTTATCTGAGATATGTGGGAAAGTGTACATTAGCCAAAATCTAAAGACAAGTTCCTGAGTTTACCAACACTTCTGCAAAGTGCAATCCTGAGGACCAAGCTTCAGAGCACTTCACACAGGGGGAAATCTAACTCATAATGTCACCATAAAGTGTCTCTGCTACTTTCTTACTAGTTCTTAAAAATTAATCACGGAAACAAAACTGCAAATACACGATTCAATTCTGTCCATGTTACTTTGGTTATAAAACTCAGAGACTAAAGGCTAAAAAATGTTATGGTACATCTTTTTGATGGGCTATAAGGCAGTCATTAATATCTTGCTTCAAAAACATATTTACTAACAATGGAATTAGAAACTGCTTGTCACATAATGCCAAATTTTTAAAATGTAGAATATGAAACTATAAATACAGTATGATAATTTTATATATGCATACATATATACACACATTTCATATATATATGTATGTATATAAAGCTGGAAGAAATCTACCTAAAGTTTAATAATTATTATCTCTGGGTGATGAGATTACTGATAAAATTGACTCTAGATAGTCAGATTCCATAAATTTTACATGGTAAATATATATTTTCTATAATCAGAGAAAAGCTATTTGTCCAATTTTATAGAACATCATTGAAAGAGTAATGTTACTTAAAAATAAATAAAAATATTGGTTTCATTTAAAAAACAAAAGGAAATAATGGTGATGTACATATAACTGAATTTTGAATCCTGCAATCTAAACTGTCATCTGGATGGCTAAATGTTTATTGATTTATTTTTCTTTCATTTTAGATCAGTGTCAAGGTCACGGTACAGGATGTGTTCACTGGCATTGAGAAGCTTGTTAGCGTGGCTTTCTCTACATTTGTAGCCAAACCAGTTGGAAAAGAAAAGGTAAATTTTCTGTGTGAAGAGGTATCTAGCATGTAATTCATGGACAAATTAACCATTGCATTAGAATGGAAAAAAGAACATTTCTTCTTACCATGAGGTATGCTTTCCCTGTTACTCACCAATATTTATTGTAAAAGTTATCATTTTGTGATAACATCAGAGGATTAAGTAAGTACCTTAGAAAAAAGTACCTTACAGAACAGCAGATGTAGCCAGTATGTGAAAGATTAAAAAAACAAAACATTGTGTTTTAAATGATCTTAAGGTCATATCAGTTTCTCAAAAATATTGCTTACTGGTTTAGTTATTTTGTGATTATATAACTCAAAATCGAGTCAAAATAAAATCTTCTTCATAAAGCAAGAGCAATTTAGCAAGCAGTTGCATGCTATGGACCAATCATTTTTTTATACCTAAAGGAAAAATGTCAAAGCTGCTGAATTATTGAAGTTTAAAAATAAGCTTCAGGGCATCTGGGGTGAAAACACCCTTCAAAGCAGTGGGATGCGATGGCCCACCCAGCTGGCTTGCCTGGCTGTGGGCCAGATCCCCTCATCTCTTGGTTTTCTTGGCGCTTTTTTTTTCAGTGTCAGGGTGTCTGGGGGAGGGTCCTGATTTAGTCTAAACATTTTTAAAATGTAATAATTCAATTTAGAATTTGAATCTTTCACTCCAAAGATCACTCCAAAACTGGACACAGTGGCTTCCCCTAGATCCACTTTGAAGCAACTAGGAGCACTTTTCTCTCTGCAAAAGTGTTCTTCAGACTGTCTCCAACTTTAGAGCTGGGACAAAGCAATGTTCCCACTCTACCTGACAGAGTGGCAGCAGAGCCACACTTGCTAGCTACTCCTCACCTGGGCCAGGAGGCACAGAGATGGGCTGGGACTGAGTTAGCCCACCACGGCATGGTGCCAGGGTGGCAGGTGTTCCTGCAGAGTTTTGTACCCTGGGGCACTTCTCCCATTGTTGGCCCAACAAGGCCTGCAAAGCAAATTCATATTGCCCATGAGTGCTGTTTCCAAACCGAAGCTCATGTCAGCTAATTATATTATTTAAAAATGCAGCTTTGGGGGCCATATCTCGGACCTACTAAATTAGAACCACTAGTGTAGGAACTTGGAATCTGTACTTTGACAAAGCATCCCAGGGATCCCACATTCAGTAAAACGTTAGACATTGAGATAGATCTTGCCAATCATTCTGCTTTTCCTGGAATCTTCCCAGATCTCCAGATCTTGGGAATAGGGGGGTGGGTGCAGAGTTCCCGTATCTCAGAGAGAGTGACAGAAAGGTGTACACCTTGCCATCCCATTCCTTCACGTGGAGGGCCATTGTTTTCCCCCGTGGCCTCAGACTTCTCACTCTGACTTCAGGGATGTGTGGGATAAGAATGTAATATCACACCTCAGTCCAGTCTCTGCTGGGACTGAAGAACTGGTTTCTGAAATTGGAAAGTCAGATACCATATGGTGCTACCATAATTGGTTGATTCAGATAAACTTAATTGTGAAGCACCTTTCCCAGACTAACTTATTTTCCTGTTGGTAAGATTCATGTTCAGTAGCACATTGTGAAGAGAGCCATGAAAAATCAATGGTTTGGTTTAAACCAACAGGACTACCTGGATCTCTTTCCAAAGTGAATTTATTCCAGGATAAAATTGGCAGTGATTAACTAGACTTAGTTCAATAATTGCACAGACCAGATCATTGAAAGGCCTCACAAGACTCCATGGGGTCATGCAAGGCCTTACTAAAGCTAAAGCACGTGGTACTGTGGGAGAAAGAAAGCCCAGGCCAGCATCAGAGAGGCTCCGGGCTTGCAGGAGTAGCTAGCTCTCAGGGTTCTTTTAAGTCGCACAAGATGGACTTTGTCCACACAACAGGGATATAACCAAGATATATAACCATATAACCAAGATATATGCAAGGTATCTTGGTTTCAAGAGAACCAACCCTGCTGGTTACACAACCAAAATGAGAACTACATGGAGAGTTAGACCAGTGCAAACCATCAATCTGCACATTACTAAACAAATTAGCCAAGCTAGTCTGAGGGGGATGGGGGTTTGGACTTTAGCCAGCATATTATAAATCATTAGCTTATTTCATCCTTATCTTGGCCAAGGGTCAGTAGCAGACTTTAGGGTCCTGGACATAAGCATGGACATACCCTAGTGCAGCTTCAGTGTGGCCCTTCCTTACATACACAGGGTCAGCAGACAGGCATTTACGGAGGAACTTGGGCTCCTGGTTCTGTTGCATCATACTTTCATGTTTCTGGAGGGTGGTGAAAGCTTTATTCTCACATATTGCTACTTTCGATTTGCTTATTAGATGATGTTTTCACCATGTGATGGAATTTCCAAATTAAGAATATCTCTTGGTACAAGATAGCTTTCTCTACAACATCTTTTTTCTCTCCTTGTGATATCTTAATTTGCAAAAGATGGAAAACATTTCTTGGTAAGAATTCGGTGGAGTCAAAGTCCCTCTCCTCATTCATCAATCTGAAGAACTTCTTATTTTGTAGTT